ACATGAAGCTTAAATCAAGTGTGAGCAACCAAGCAAGCCGCCTCGCCTCAGTGTGTGAGTGTGTTTGTTTCTGAGAACAATGTCAATTTAGGAAAGGATGTAGAGATCTTGAAAGAGGTGAGGCATCTGCCTGGTGCTACTGCCAACAGAGAAAAGAGGTGCATTGTTAAGATTGTCAAGAATGCTAGTAAGAATGCTCAGGGGGGAGATGTAACAAATTTAAAGAAGGAATGTTGATGTTGTTGTGCATCTTGGCACCAATGATCAGTACAAAAAAGATATACAGTACAAAAAAGATATATATATATATCCTGTGCAGAAGGATTTCCAGAGCCTGGAGCAGGAACTTAGCAGGATAGGCTGTAATCTTACTTTTTCAGAAGTTTTCTGTATATAAGCAAAAAGAAAAAGGCCAGTGTACAGCAGAATTCAGTGTGTGACTAAAAGAATGGTATAAAACAGGGCTGTCAAACTCAAAGGCCCACAGACAGGGTGCTTAAATCCGGCCTGTGGGACCAGCCTGGAAATATCAAAAGACTGATCCGCGTTGCTTCTGGTGGCTAAAAGGAGCCACGTGCAGCCCCTGCACCTCATTTTCACACTCCATGGCCTCCTGCAGCACTCTGCTGGCCAAAACTGGGCCAAAAACAGGCTGAAAAACAGGCTGAAAATGGACTGAAAAATAGACCAAAATGCCAGAAAAATGGGCTGAAAAATGGGCCATGTGGCCCCTTTTGGCCAGCAGAGTGCTTCAGGAGGCCATGGAGGGTGAAAATGAGGTGCAGGGGGGGGATTTTGGCCAGCAGGGGGCTGCAGGAGGTATCTCTCCTGCCCCATGCTGCCCCACCATCACTCCCTGCTGCCCCCACCACTGCTGGCCTGCAGACGAGAACTACGATGCAGATCTGGCCCTCAAAGTAATCCAGTTTGACACCCCTGGTGTAAAACATAAGGTTTTGGTTATTTTAGTCATGATGTTTGCAGTTGGCCTGATGAAAAGTTTACAAAGGGGATAGTTTACTTCCATTACAGAAAGGGACTGAGTTATTCAGTACTAAATTCACAAGTTTTCTGGAGAATTATTTAAACTGAATAAATGTGCAGCAGCTGCCCAAAAAAACAAACATAATCCTAGGTAATAGAATAAAGATCACATGAAGTATTAATACCTTTTATAATGCCTTCCCAAGATCACACTTGGAATATTGCATCAAGTTTTGGTTGCCACAATATAAAAACAATATTAAGACTCTAGAAAGAGTGCAGAGAAATGCAACAAAGATTATTAGGGGATTGGAGATTAAATATATACAAAGAACAGTTGCAGAAATTGGATATGTCTAATTTAATTTTTAAAAGGACAAGGAGTGATATGATAGCAGTGTTCCAATCTCTAAGGGGTTGCCCCAAATAAGAGGATTATTATCCAAAACACCTGAAGGCAGAACAAGAAGCAATGGGTAGAAACTAATCAAGGAAAAAACCTACCTAGAACTAAATAGAAATTTCCTGATAGAACAAATAATCAGTGGAATAACTTGCCACCAGAAATTGTGGGTGTTCCAACATTGGAGGTTTTAAAGAAGAGATTGGACAGCCATTTGTCTGAAATCTTATAGGCTTTCCTGCTTAAGCAGGGGGTTGGACTAGAAAGACCTCCAAGGTCTTGTTGGAAGAAATTTCCTGAGTTCGTTTCCCATCTGGGAAGCAGCCACCGCAGTGGTGGGATTTTTAAAAAAATTACTACTGGTTTTGTGGTTGTGGCTTGGTGGGTGTGGTGTGACTTGGTGGGCATGGCTTGGTGGGCATGGTGAGGGAATTGCCATTCCCACCCCACTCCATTCTATTCTGAGATAGCAGCAGGGAATAATGAGGCGAGACAAGCTAATCGGTTGCCAACGGTTTATTAATGCTAACAGAGAATAGCTCAACTGACCATACAGCAACAATGAACAGGGCATTTGACAGCTCTTATATACTAGCTGCTTCAGCCAGGCAGCCAATCAGCTCTCAGGATAGTCCTCTTTCTGTTCCGGACTGGAGTGAAGACTTTGGACACGACACCCCTTTCCACCTTGATTGCACAGGTGTAGTCTTGTAGGTGTGCAGGCCTGTGCCGGACTCACCCCGATCTTCGCAGTACAGTTTCCAGGGGGGAACTTCTCTCTGCTGGACGTTGGGGAACTGTCGGTTGGGCTTCCTCCTTGACTGGACTCTGCGATGCTGGAGTCATGCTGGGGGCAACAGGTATGGTTGGTTCCGTCAGTGGTTGGGGCAGCATTGGTTCAGTCAGTTCCTGTGCGTCTGGCTTGCTTCCGGCCAACCAGGCTTGTGATTTGGCGATCATGGGTGTGTCGTCTAGCTGATGTAGTCTGGAAAACGCTCACCTTCGTAATTGATCTATATGCCACCTCTATATTCAGCCATCCTCTAATTCGGCCTGATAAGAGCATTGCCCAGTTACCTCTACAATGGTGGCAGGTAACCACAAAGGATTCCCTGTGAAATTCCTTGCATATACCCAGTCCCCCTCCTGAAACTCTCTTGTGGTACTTGCAGAGTCTAGGGGCTTTTCTAGTGAGTACCAAGGATGCAGTCTGTTTAAGATTGCCCTTAACTGCCTGCCCATCAATGCTTTGGCAGAGCTAACATTGGTGGATGGACAGGGTGTGGTATGCTATGCTAAGAGATATTGGTCCACCTTGGTAGACCAGCCTCCTGGTCCCATTCTAGCCAGTGCCTCTTCAGTAGAGCGCATCATTCGTTCTGCCATACCATTACTAGAAGGGTGATTAGGAGCTATCAGGGTGTGGCAAATACCTTGCTCTGCTAGGAACAGCTCAAAGTGTTTTGAGGTCAGCTGTGAGCCATTATCTGAGACTACTAGATCAGGTAGCCCGTGAGTAGCGAACAACTTCCTTAAGGCCTTTATTAATGCTTCTGCTGTAGTAGATGGCATTAAGATTACCTCTAACCATTTAGAAAAGGCATCAATGACAATTAAGAAACTTTAGCCCTGGCAGGGGCCTGTGAAATCCACATGTATGCAAGACCAGGGGCCTTTAGGCTTTTCCCACTCTCAAATGGGGGCCTGGGGTGAAGCAGCCCTAGATTCCTGGCAACGTTTGCACCTGGCCACCCATTCCACAATGGCCTGATCCATGCCTGGCCACCAGACATAGCTCTGCCTCAATGCCTTCATATGCACAATTCGTGGGTGGCTAATATGCAGGGCTTCTAGCACTAGTTCCTGTAACCTGGGAGGAATAACGACCCTATTTCCCCATAATAACACCCCCTTAATGTGGAAAGTTCATGTTGTCTCATCTTAAATGGCCTGAACTCTGGATTCACTGACCCCTGTGGCCACCCCCTGCGCACCCAGTCTAAGACTTGGGAGATGATATGGTCTTTAGCAGATTGTTTGGCAATGTCCATAGCTGACAGCGGAGAGTAGAGATCTTCAATGAACAGGTGCTGGTGTGCTGGATCGTCAATCAGAGTAAGACCTGGGCAATGGCTCAAAGCATCTGCATGGCATAAATGTTTACCTGGGCAATGGATTAATGCATAATTATATGAAGCGAGAAATACTGACCACCTTGTTAAACGTGAAGAAAGGATTTGTGGTGTCTGGTGGTTGCCAGCAAGTAATCCCAAAAGAGGCTTATGGTCAGTAATAAGTTTGAAGGGGTGACCATACACATATTCATATACAAAGTGATGGCAACATACTCACCCACAGTAGTTCAAACTGTCCATCCAATCAAAGATGTGCATAATGTCATGTGGGCATCTTCAGATGGTGATGCAGACATCTGGCCATTGACCTTGGGCTATTTTGATAAAGACCTGCATTTGTGCAGTAAGCAAGCAAGTAAGCATAAACAATAAAGTTTTTCCCCCAAGTTATACAGTTCATTCTCTAAAACCTCCAGCACATTTCCCACACCCACAAAGCCCAATTATTTCCCCCTCCCCCACGTTACTATGGCAGCTGAAAGATGCAAGAGAAAGGAAAGGAATCTTGAAAGCTGATAGCCCTGTTAGCAGGACTGCTCTGAGTTTTTTCTTTCACCAGGTGATTTTTGGTTTTCTTAAAGGGGGAAGGGCTGGCTTGAGGTTCTTGGCCCTGTTTTCTGAGGTTTCTGGTGCTGTGAGGTTTCTGGCACTGTCCTTTTCAGGTATACTTCCCACAATCTCTTCCAGCTCTGTTATTCTGTTAACTTTGGGTTTGAACAGAAATGGCAATTAATGTTATGAAATTCAAAATTGCTACTTTAAAAAAACCTTACTCTTTTATGTTTCCTAAAATGCTATTCAAGAAGGTCTGGAGACCTTCTTATGTTCTAGAAGATGAATGAACAGCTAGAATTTTTTTTTTGCTGCCTTCTTGTGTACAACAAATATATTGTGAACATAGCTTCTTTGTGTCCTGTTTCTACATTAAAAGCTTTTTGAAACGCCTACTGTTTCGAATAATAGAGAAGCTGGAAAGCAGCATCTTAAGAGGTAAAACTTGGATGACAAGACCTGGTCCTTCCCCACCTCATTAGTCAGCGTAGAAAAACTCCATGCTTTTTCTAGTTTCTTTAGCACTATGGTACACAGTTGCCCCTGCAGGTTTTGAAGAAACTCATCATCCTCTTTCAAAAGGCTTCTTAGAAAACCCTACATTTTATTGCACAAAAGGTTCATTCAAAATACCGTATTTGCCGGCGTATAAGACGACTGGGCGTATAAGACGACCCCCCAACATTTCCACTCAAAATATAGAGTTTGTTATATACTCGCCGTATAAGACTACCCCCTCTTCCACACACCTTCCACTTTTGCACTTTTTTTTTTTGACGCACTTTTCTGCTTTGGACAATTTTGAAATGAGCTAATCCAATTTTGAACCAAGAATATGCAAATAGCTATGGAGTTTAGAAATGAGTTTTAAAAATATTTTTCATTGCTTACCATTAAGCGTAAAATATATTGTAAATAAAATGAGAACACAGGAAACGTTCTCTTCTCAATACAGCTGATCTCTCTCTCTCTCTCTCTCTCTCTCTCTCTCTCACACACACACACCAAAAACCCGGACACTGAAAAGGCTGCCAAGGAACAGTATATTCAATGCCTTCTCTTTAATCAAGAAACAAGGAATTCCTTAGAATCTTTTTTTTTCCCCAAGTGGCCCTCTTTAAAAAAAAAAATGGAGGTAACACTTTCATTCAAAAAGTCTTCCAGTATCTGGAGTCGCTCAGACATATTGAAGTGAGGCAGGAGAGTAAGTGAAATTTGAAATGATCCAGCTACCGTTTTCTTCCCCTCCCGCCCGAAAGCCATTATCTCCACGTCAAAACGAACGAGGGGAGGCAAAGAAGCCAAACACGCTAAAAAGGATCTCTTTATTTTCCTACACAAGGTCACACCTACTTTTCCGCATTCAAAGGACAACCTCTCCTCACCACCACCACACACACACACACACCCCAATACCCGCAATGTTCTGGGCATTAATCACCATTGCTACATTAACCTGGTAAATTTATACCCTGCCTCCCCCAGTGTTGCTTTGACAGCAGGATTTCACACAGCGGGGTGCTCGCTCGCTCTCTTCTCCGCTCTCCCACCGTTTGCACATGTTGGAAGCACCGTAAAACCTGATAACCCACCCGGGGGCTCCCCCATCCTTAACCTACAGCCGCCCGCATGCAAAACCTGCGTAAAAAAAGAAAAAGAAAAGTACGCCGCACGTGAGGATCTTCGAATCCTCTCCTCCCCACACCGCTAAGGAAGGAAGAGGGGGAAAGGTTGCGCAGCGCGTGGCGAGTGACACCCGCCACACACACACACACACACACACACACACACACACACACCCCGCCCCCCCCCCCAGCCTCCCTCCCGGCTGCAACTCAAGCTCGAAGTGGGAGTCGGAGTCCTCCCGGCGTATAAGACGACCCCCCCACTTGGAGGCATGTTTTTCAGGGCAAAAAAGTCGTCTTATACGCCGGCAAATACGGTACTCAAAACCATTTTGGTATCAGACTAGAGAAAGACCTAATAGTGCTGTCCATATGTGCTGGGTTATAATTTTCATCAGGATGGGCCATAGACCTCTTATAACTTCCAATGCATCTGGAGGATATTAGTTGAGGGGAAAACTGTTCTAAGAAAGAGTGGAATATGTAAGACCTGCTGACATTCTCTGCAATTTATTAAATAAATGTAATGGCTATTTTCTATATTTTTTTGAACTCTAATACTTATCGACATGTAGGAACTTTTATGTATGGAATGGGGTCTGGATAAAAAGACTGGACTTGCCCAGTGGCTTTGATGGATGGCAGGCAATTGATGCCACACCTCAGGAAACAAGCCAAGGTAGAACTCTAGATACATGCACAAGCAAATGAAAAGTTAACATTTGGTTATATTTAAAATCTACTAAGTTTGTCCTCTCACAATTCATCTACTTTATGCCACATGCATGCATAACACTCTGGATAAATTGTGCATATTTTACTTATATGCATGAAATGTGCTCTTAACTTTAGCTTTACAGATAACCATAAAATGAAACTATGGAAGGATTGTGCAATAATGAATGAGGCAAAACAGATCTAAGTGACTTGGTCCCCATGGAAAAAAAAATTCAAAAATGTAACTTTAGATCTGAGGAGTGAAGAATGTGAAGCATCTGAACATCATTCATACTGACTTGGACTGCTGGGAGTTGCAGTTTAGCATCAGTTGTGCTAGAGCCCACTGTAATTGGTCCTCACTTAATCGCCAGTTGTTTAGCAAGTGTTCTAATTTATGACTGGCCTCCCCACAGCTACTTGACCTGTTTTTGGAGTTTTGACAGCCATGCACACACATACACACACACTCCCTTCTAACCCTGCTGGAGCAGGTCATTGGACTAGAATTGGCAAAGCATCTCTGATTAGATTCTAGTAGTGAATAGAATCTAATCAGAGATGCTTTGCCGATTCTTGTTGATTTGTTTTATTTGTATTTCTTTATTTTATGTTGCTGAATTGCATTGACATGTGTGTCCCTTCTTGTGCACAGCCCAGAAGCTTTTGTGATTCTTTGCAGCAAAAATTACTTTGTTCTACTTTTCAAATGTGCTGCCACTGCTGCGTTTTAGGTGCCAGCCCCGCAGGTCCACCCCATTGGGCCCGCTGCACCGGAGGGACCTGCCCAAGCAAGTCCGAGCGGAGCGGTGCACCAAGTCAATGGGGTGAGCCTGAGAGAGGGAAAGAGAGAGAGAGAAAAGAGAGAGAGAAAGAGAATGAAAAGGGAAAGAAAGAAAAAGGGACAAAGAAAGAGGGGGGGGAATGGAAGGAAGGGACAGAAAGAAAAAGAAATAAAGGAGGGAGGAGAAAGATAATGAGATATCTATTCTAGTCCAATCACCTGCTCTAGCAGGGTTAGAAGGGAGAGAGTGTGTGTGCGTGTGTGTTCTCCTTGTAATTTACCAGTATATTTTGGTTTTGCCTTCTTCAGAATTGGCACTGTTAATACATTGGGGAAAAGTAATTTTTTAGGGTGGAGGTCTGGTCCAATGGATCCTGTTTAAAGCCTCAACAAAATGTGAGAGTTTCCTGATAGTCCTGATCATTTTTCATCCACAAAACCTTTAATAGAAGCCAAAGATGTTTTAATGTGCTAGCAAAGATGTTTCAGTGTGGAAAAGGGCCTCAGTCTAAACTAGGCCTCATTTCAATCGAATGCATCAGGTCTCTCTCTCTCTCTCTCTCTCTCTCTCCCTCCCTCCCTCCTTCCCAGACTGGCCATGTTCTGCGAAGCTGGCGCCTTGAACATGGATGGATGGATGGATAGAGAGACAGATAGGTAGGTAGGTAGGTAGGTAGGTAGATATATTGATAGATAAGTAGGCAGGCAGGCAGGCAGATCTTTTGGATCGATGGATCGATATACTGGTAGATAGGTAGGTAGGTAGGTAAGTAGGTAGACAGACAGACAGAAAGACAGACAGGTAGGAAGGCAGAGGAAGGGGGGCTTTGACCACATGCCCAATATCCAGGATCCCGCTCAGCCAAGCCCGCCCCCCTTTTAGTTGCCGTGCCTGACAGAAAGTTCACAGGCTGCCCCTCCTGCCAGGGATCAGCCTCCCTAACTACCCCCACTCCTGAGGCACTCACGTTGTAGAGGGCTGTGCTGTTCCCTCCTTCTTGGAGCCAGTACAGGGCAGGATTGAGAAAGCCCAGGTAGGCAGCAGAGGTATGTTGGGAAAGTAGAGCTTTCTGACTTGCCTGTGGGGGCAGTGCCTTGCAGCAGCAAACACCATCACTCTGCTAAACAAACAATTCCCACAACACTGCCCAACTATTTACTAAGTCTGCATTACTATCACTATTAATCTTCTCATCCTATCACCCATCCCCTCCCGCTTGTGACTATATGACTGTAACTGTTTTGCTTGTATCCTTACGATTTATATTGACTGTTTCCCAGTATGATTTGATTGCCTATTTGTACCCTATGACTCTATTAAGTGTTGTATCTTATGACTCTTGATGAATGTATCTTTTCTTTTTATGTACACTGAGAGCATATGCACCAAGACAAATTCCTTGTGTGTTTAATCACACTTGGCCAACAAAGAATTCATTCATTTATTCATATTGACAACACAATATTCTCTGCAATAGATGATTGACTAGCTACATGGGTTATTAAAATAGAGTTGAATTTTATCTTTGCTCTATACTGCAAGACTTGTTTGCATCAGCTGTTAAAAAACTGATATTTATTATTCAATCAAATTAAAAAAGATTTGGAAAAATGGGGGACTTTACAATTATCATTATTAGGAAGAATAGCAACTATAAAAATGAATGTCCTGCCAAAGATTTTATATTTATTTCAAACAACTCCAACAAAATTAGATAAGAATTTTTTTAGAGAACTTAATAGAATAATCACAAAATTTGTTTGAGCAGGCAAAAAAGCCCGAATAAAGTTAAAAGATTTACAGGATAGTAAGAGTAGAGTGACCTTGGGCTTCCAGATTGGGAACTATACCATAAGGCAGCAATACATGTATGGATACGAGATTGGATCAATCTAAGGAAAAAAAGAATATTAACCATAGAAGGGCATGACATACAAAGAGGATGGCATGCCTTCCTGTGGGACAAAGAAAACAAACCGTATCTATACATTTATAGACATAAAATAAGAAATGTGCTGATACAATCATGGAAACAAATAAAGAATAAATATTATTTGAAAATTCCAAACTGGGTATCTCCCTTGGATGCAGTAATTCACCCCAATATAATGGAGGTTAAGAAAACGACTAGGTATAGGGAAATTTTAGATGACCAAGGGAACTTAAAAGAGCAGAGAGAAATTGGAAGAGCAGGGAATAAAACTAGATTGGTGGACCTATATGCAAATTCAAACAAGATATAAAAAAGACAGTGAGGAATCTGGAATAATGAAATACAAAAATTAGATAAAATCTTGATTGGCCCAGACGAGAAATTATTATCAAAGTTATATAAACATTTATTAGAATTTGAAAGAGCGGAAGAAATTGTGAAAGGAACGATGTTTGCATGGGGTAGGAACGTTGGACATACTATTGATCTGGAAGAATGGGAAAAGATTTGGAATGTGAATTATAAAATAACAAAATAGGCGGCATATAAGGAAAACCAACATAAAATGTTCTATCATTGGCATTTGGCACCTTCAAGACTGGCTAAGATTTACCCAAACTTAAAACCAAATTGTTGGAAGTGCGGACAACAACAAGGTACCTTCTTTCATTCTTGGTGGACATGCCCCAAAGCGAAAAAATACTGGAAAATGATTCAAATGTAGTTAGAAGAGTTAACTAAAAACAAAATTGATTTTGTCCCAGAATTATTCCTCTTAGGAATAATAAAAAACTATAATAGAAAGATAAAATACATTTTACATTACATATATTAACAGCAGCAAGATTTTCATATGCTCAGTACTGGAAGGAAAACTATACCACCTGAAGGCTTAATAATCAAAAATTTTTTAGAGTGTGTGGAAATGGATAAATTAACTATGGAATTAAAAGGGAAAACAGACACAGAATACAACACAGTATGGGAAACATGGTTTATTTGGATAGATAATAGATATAAAAATAGAAAATGTAAATAATGTATATATAATAAATAAGAGGGTATGAAAGTATTATGCATTGTAGGTTTAGATAGGATATATAAATGTATATATAATGTCACAGCGCTGTTTAATAACTATTGGTATTATGTATAAATGGAAAAAATTCAATAAAGCATTATTAAAAAAAACCCAGATATTTGTGCTGCGTATTATGCTTTCAGTAACAGAGACCACCTGGTTTCCTTATCAGAAATTGTCAGACATATGTAACCAAATATGCTTCTCTAAGAGGGAAGTGGAAGTCAAGTAAAACCCAAATAAGATGATAGATGATAGAGATAGATGGATAGATAGACAGACAGACACACATACGGCATGACATAATGTAGCATCTGGGTTTCTCTGTTCCAACAGCCAATCAGAAGCCAGATGTGTGGATAGTCCATGTGAAAGAAGTGAAAGCTTAAATATGATGGATTTTTAAACTCATTTGACCTCCAGTCACTGCAAGGATTTTGACTGCATAAAATTATGTGAAGGGAGAAAACAGTTTAGATAGTAATTGAGTTCTAAAATATCCTTACAGAACAATCACTTTAAAGGGACTGCAAGCACTAAACATGAGCAGACAAATATGAGATGAAAAACACAATCCTTTAACAGTACCATTAATCTGGAATACAGAAAATAAGATACAAAAGAGCAAAAAATAGAACACAAACATTTGTAAATGCTTACATTCTTTAATTGTATAGGATTGGCCAGTATGCAGCCCTACAACTGTTCATGAACATACAAAATATTTATTTTCCCACATGCTAATTCCCAGCCCACTGTTAATAGTCAAATTATTTGAATTATAGCACCTTTTGGCTTTCTTAGCATCCAGAACAACTGCATGTCTTGTTAAAACACACAGTTGTTTTGAACATAAAAGGCTAACTGGTTGCATAATGTCATGGCTAAGGGGTGAGAGGAAAAACAAAAGAGCACTTGTTCCTTCTATATTATCAGAACCTAAAGATTCTGCTTGTGCAAATACATATATATTTCATGCCAGATGAGGTCTGTGCATGCCAAAACAGAGCTTTGGAGGGGTGCGCCTGCCCCTCCAAAGCTCCATTTCAGGCTGCAAAGTGTGGGATAAGGCCTGCACCCACCAAAATGGAGCTCCGGAGGGGTGTCCCCGCCCCCCCCCCCCCGAAGCTCCGTTTTGCACAGCAAAGTGCCAGACGACATAATGCCAACATTCATTTAAGGAAGGTCACCAAACAAAATTATTTGGTTAATAGCAGATAAATTTTAATATGGTACAAAACATTTGATCACAGCTGATAACATAAAAGCATTATGAAACAGACTGGATCCAAATAAGGCACTTATTTAATGTAGAAAAGTCCTTTAAAATTATTCCAGAAAAACCTCAGTAAGTATCGTTCCTCACTTTTTAATGCCATTTCCTTCCTTTTTTTCTATGAGATACAAAGAGCCTGAAAATAAACAGAGTATAACTAACATGTAGAAATGTATGTCTGTGGAGATTCTCAATCATCCAGATTCTCAATCATCATTATTTTCCCCAAAGATGCTTTTCTAAAAGGCAACTTTTAGAAAACTGGACTTTCTTGATTATTTTTCCTTGAAAATGTTTCGCTTCTCATTCAAGATGCTTCTTCAATTCTGACTGAATGGTGCAGAAGGAAAGAAATGACCAGATAACGACAAAGAATATAAATCCTTTCATCCCCCATCATTCAGTCAGAACTGAAGAAGCTTATTGGATGGGAAGCAAAATGTTTTCAAGAAAAAACTTAACATAGTCCTGTTGGAAAAACAGTTTGGGACATATAGAAATGTACAAATGTACAAATACAGAAAATCTATGACCACATTTCTCTCAACTAAATGCTATCTCAAGTGAGAAGTAGCATAAGGCAGGTTTCTGTGATAGATTATAAAAGAATATAGATTATAAAAGAGCACCAAATATTGAAATAAAATATTGAGCCCCTTAAGGATTTGCATTCATATTCCTAACTGTAATAGAATCTTCTCTTATATTGTGATTCATTGGTCTCCCTTCCCAGAGATAATCCTCATTGCCAAATCACAAGCGTTTTGCAGCACTGTTGTTCCTAGAGCTGAAATCAGTCTTGAAATATCTCCAACAAAAAAAAGTCCATGGCACTTTTATTTATAATATATTGTATCAATAAACACTGAAGTTAATTGGCCTGTTTTTAAGTTGTATAGAAATTCACCCATGGACTTGCCTTGTCATCAACCAAATCCCTGCAGTAAGACAACTAACTGCTGAAAATTTCTATGTCCTCTTTCTCAATCATATACAAGTGCACACTTCAGGGACACATGCATGAGCTTCCAATTATGTACAGTAGAGGAGAATCCCTATTTATAATTCATACTATTTCAGATGAAGAGTTTTAAGGATTGCATGAACAAATCACACAGCTGCTAAAATGAGACCATTTGGACATTTGTAAATAAACTATCTAATGATCTCTTTCAAAACAATGGAAGATTGATAATGCAATTTAGCTTTTGTATCTAATTGTCTAATTAGGTCTTATAATTGCCCCATCTCAAGCTTTTCTGATGTAACCAATATGAGTTAGCTGAAAAGCAGTCATTATGTATAAATGTTGTAGCTCTCCTTGCAATAGAATTATCATTTGTTGTTACAAACAGTAATTTAGAGCACATAAATATCTCCTGAAGAGACCACTTAAAATGATCACATTGAACTTCAACAGGAATTTTATGGATCAGAATTATATTCCTGAACTTAGATTTTGGCCAGTCATTAAATCTTGAGAAAACATACTCCTCATATCTAAATTGGTTAAACCAACTTTGGCAATTTTCTCCTAAACAACATTCTTATTGCACATTTTTAGAAGCTGTCCTCTCACAATGATAGGTTAATTTTTCTGTAATGAAGTACAATTATTTAAGTATACTTAATCCATCACCAGTTAAATGTGTAGGAAACTAGTTGTATTATTTTTGCTTAGAGAGGTCCTTAGCTAGAAGACAATTCCATGGTTTCATACATCAGTGCTACCTTAAAGCTAACTGTCAAGTACACAAATATTGAAAGAACAAACATTTGTAAAGATACTTTATATTAATCACTTAATACTTCCACAACCATCATTGGATCATAAAGTGGTTCAAAGGCTTCTTGCACAGCCATCTCCGATGGAGCAACTGTTGCAGTCCCAGCTGGTGGAGCCTTCTTGCAATTCAGGTTTGAAAAGGGACTGAACCATCGCAGTGAAAAATTGCCCCCGAAAGCCAGTTTCATCCCTTCCCAGCCGCTGGCTTTTTCCCAAGTTGGCTGCTCTTTTTTAAGCCGTTCTATGCCCTGCAGAAGACAAAACAGTTTACATTTATTCATTAAAGGCACATGGAACACTGTTATAACATGCTAATGGATAATAGTCTAAATAATTTAAGGAATTTTCTGAATGTAAATAGAGAAAACCTTCAAAAAAAAAATATGAGTCTACAACATTCTGCAGCCATTAATAAGAAACTAAAGAGTATCATATCAGAAAAATATTGGAAGATATTCATCTGCAACTAGTGAAAAAATTATATACTTTACCATATTTTGGATTAACAGATACCAAATTGAAATCTGCTGAATGTCTACCCAGAATTCGTAGCTATATCTCAGAATTTTTCTGATTAGTTACATAAGTCTCATTCCGGAACCTAAAGACTAATAATTTTGTGCACTTTATTCCTTGCTTTTTTTTTCTTAGAATCACTTGTGTTGATTCAACACAAGACTTTTATAGTACAATTGCTATGCTTTCTTAATGGAATTGTACAAGGGCTCAGTTATACCATCTTTAACTTCTAAACCTCCCATTCCGCCAACCACCTTTTCTTCACACAGAAAATCCATTGGAAAAAAGACAGAAGAACTGGCCCTTGGGTTTGATCTGTAGAGTTCTCATCTGAAAATGCCTTGAATACAGTTAGCTCAATTTTTTAAACAACCTAGCAATAATAATGGGTAACAGATTGCAAATTAAAAAACAGCAGTTCTGAAGATATGTTTTTAGATTAACTATGGATCTTATATAATTATTAATTTGCTTAAGAAGTCTTTGCTCACATGTGACAACAGAAAGAATACATTTTAACTGCATGAAGTTTTCATTAAAAATATGAATAGGAGGGAAAAATTACAAGTGAGATAAAAAAATATTTAAAGAAATTAAATATGAAATTCATTTTAAGTATTTAATCAACTAAATGTAACAGTTCCAGTAACTTTTAACTAAGGAGAAGTTTTCATAAAAGTAGTCAACAAAACATCATTTCAGAATTAGCAAGCTGAAGAGAGGTAATGTTTATGAGACAAGATCTCATATATAGTTTAAATTTGCATATAAAGCCAATCCTATGTTCTCTTCTGAACATTCAGAAAACGTCAATAAACAAAAATTCTTTGCACATACTAATAGATGTGCAAGTCTTTGAAATTATATCTAATCTTTCAAATGTATTATCTAAGATAGAGTATGTTTTAATTTTAAGGTAGTTTCTTGTGTTCTAAGGCTAAAATTACAGAATTAGAGGGATCAAGATGGGAAAAACTATTTCCAAAGCAATATATTAATGTAACATTTTTACATTCAAAATACCCACTGAAATGAAAAACATTGACCTAAAGTTAACACATT